TGTAGTTTACCCATCATCTAATATAATTCAAACTATTTGTTCTTAAATGTGAAATAAAGAGTAGTGAAGGTAATAAAAGAAACCAGTAGAAAATTGGTAAAGCGCCAAGAAATCAAAAACTTACAGAACAAAGTGTTATGAAGTCTAAAACAGACTATTAAATATCATTATGTGGTAAATTGGTAAATTACCAAACAATCCTAAACTATAGATAAGGTGAAATTTAAAGCAAACCGGTGGATAGTATTGTGGTAAATAGATAAAGTGCTAAATAACGCATAGACTTCCAGTAAATAGCATCATGTGGCAAATAAGTAAAGTAACAAGTTATTACAAAAATCTATGGATAAAGTGTTATGAAGTCTGAAACAAATCAGTGCATAGCATCATGTGGCAAATTAGTAAAGTAACAAGTTATTACAAAAATCTATAGATAAAGTGTTATGAAGTCTGAAACAAATCAGTGCATAGCATCATGTGACAAATTGGTAAAATGTTAAGTAATCCCAAATCCTGTAGATAAAGTGTTATGAAGTCTAAAATAACCCTGTGGCTGGCATTATGTGGCGAGACTGTAAAGTGCCAAGTAATCCCAAATTAGCTTTTCTTGTTTGTTTTCAAAAACTCCTGCTTCGATTTGTCGTTGAAAAATGGCCATATGTCATTAAATATTTTTTCTTATGCAAAGATCAGTAAGTAACTTGTTTTCAGAAATACCGAGTTTGATTTTAAATTATGTGTATGATGTTTTAGCTGTCTTTTATTCACCACAGTGAAACTCTGTTTGTATAAGATTGTAATAATATATAACATTTATGCTAAAAATTCATTTTTCTAAATTATTCAACAGACAAACTCTAAGACACTAAAAATAAGTATGAAACTCAATATATCATTCGATTCACTATTTGTTACTGAGTTATACCAGACTCAGAGAGTTCGAATTCAAATTATCGGTGAGTGCGCTAGCACACTCTGTGAAAGGATGGCACGGATACCCGCATTAAAGTAATACAAAAAGTCACCTGGATTTTCCTCTCTACAGGTTTTCTGAAGCTAGATATGAAGAGCTACCTGGCACAATTTCTCTATCCCCGTGTATATGCCGCTTTTCAGCTACGTAGAGCGTCCCAAATGTCAAAAGCTGGCAAATAGCCAAAACCGAAATTTCTTATTTTCGTTCATCATCATCATCTTTCATCCACAGGCCTAGTGACTATCTAGTTCTAGCAGTAAATATAATTCCATAATCATTTGATAGGGCAAAACAGTCTTCACGATCTTTGACTATTTATTATATTATCATTCTATGCAAAATTTATAAAGCTTTAGAATACACTTTATAACCTAGCAACTCACGTACGCCATCTTATTAAAAAAAGGTAAACAAACAAGTATAAGGGAAAAAATGTACCGCTAAATAAGAAAGCTATGTAGAGCTGGCTACTGAACTTGAAAAAAAAAGAACCAAGAGAGATAGGGATGGACGTGGTCATATCACTTGATCGACTAATGATAATATAGCAGACTAAGCTGTCTCAACTATATATGGTGAATAAAATTCATATATTACTGACTTTCTCACTATCAAAACAAAGAGAACCAGAATTTCCTATCGTAAGATGTTACTCTATTGTAAAGTAGTCATGAAAGTAGTATTCTCTAAAGTTAACTAAAGGAACAGTATAATGATGAAAGCTGAGATTCTATTCAAACACCAAGCTTTCGATAGAAAAAGTGTGGGAAGTCCCAGTAATGCAGGGATTTTCTTCTCCATGTAAAGCCGTGACAGCTCAGTCTGCTATGTGATCATTAGCCGATTAAGTGATATGTCCACTTCCATTCCTATCTTGTTTGGTTTCTTTTTTTCTAGTTCAGTAGCCAGTCTTAAATAACTTTTGTGTGTATGTATGTGCATATATTTATATATCAAATTTCCAGTTGGATTTAATTTAAAATTACTCTTACGCCGTAGTTGCTAGGAGACCTGTGGTTTCGCAAACCTGTTTACAGCAAATCGGAAATGACGTCTTCTGGTTTATCTCTATTGTAGATGCAATCCATGATTTTATCCCTTTGAAGTAACTGACGCTTTAATTCTCTGTTAGGAACGTTTTGAAACCTTAATCTAGCTAGCTACATTGTTCAAGGCGTCATGGTAATGTAACGTTAGGTTTGAAGAAATACATTTTGCCAATAAACAGATATAAGAAGACTAATTTTTCTGAAGACTTAGAAAACGTTTATTTACCAGAGATCATTAGCATGACTGTTACATCATATGTTAACATTTGACTTGCAGCAACATAAAAGAGCCACCTTTTTAAAGACTCTTTTCTTCCACTAAATTTAAAGGTTGAAGACATAACGAACTTAATCATTCAGTTATTCAATGTAATTCAATTTCTATTATAAACATTTTTCAAAGCAGCCTGTGGTGGCTCAACAGTAAACTTGGGATTTGTAACACTAAAAATTGAGGCTCAATATTTGCGATAGACACAACGCAGCTGCTTCGTTGTGTAGACTACGCTTATAAACGAACAAACAACGAAAAACAAATCCTTATTTCCAACTCCGATACACCCCTTCCCGACGGCAAGTCGAACTTGCCTGTATCTTGATAATACGGAAGATGTCATTAGTCAGCTTCGTTTGCTCGGATGTTGAAGTGACCAATGAGCAGACGTGAAGTACTGCAATCTGGCAATGATTTTAAAGAGCTAAAAATGCCCGTGCTTTGCTTAAACAACACTCGGAGAAATGTTAAGTTCTATAATTTTTATATATATGATAACATGCAAAGGTGTATATCAAGGTACAATCTATCATAATTACGTCGAGATGTAACTGTAAACACCAGTTTTCTGCTAATCTGGATGAAGTTCTAAGTAAGAATCGAATGAATAATCTGTAAGGAGTAAGGGTGGTTCTTAAATAATAGAACATCTGCCTTTTTCTCTCTAACTACCAAGAAAGTTAGCGATCGTGGCCTTCCACGGATTCTTATCCTTTGTTATTTTCAACACTTCTCCTGCATTCTGGTTCATCCATTTACTGAGACCACTGATGTAAAAGTCACTCTCGATATACCCCTGCTTCGTTTCCCTTCTATTTTTTTTTCTCTTGTCAATAAATGTCCTGGCTTGTCTTTTCTCACGGCATGACCCAGGAACTGGAGTTGTCTTCTTCTACTTGTTGTTATCATATCTCTGTGTTTCTGCTCTTCTCAGTACCTCTTCATTCGCCACATAATCCGTCCACAATATCCTTAACATTCTTCTTAGAACCACATCTCAATTGCTTGAAGTTTCTTTTCCAAAGTTGGTGAAATAAACAGAGCTTTCCTCGAAACTACGTGGAAACGATCTGTATTGTATGTATATCAAACCTTATATATACTGCGAACCGTGGTGTCTGTCCAAACGTTTGTCTGTCTCCCATTTACGACGACCGCTTTCCGCGCTGCGTTTGAAAAGCTGCGTGTGCAGGCAAAGCTCAACGTTCACTTTTGAAATGACAGAACAGGCATGAATAATGTTGATGCCAAATTTTATTTCGTAAACAGGATCTTTTACACTAAATTGTTAGGAATTAATCACACTATTATTCACATTTCAAAATGTGACGTAACTTAAAGAATAAAAATGTAGATTCACTGTATGTTATTGTTGAGTGGCTCTTAGCAGGACTGAAATGCTCAGCAATTACTTTTTGCAGTGGGCGATATAAGTAGCTCAGAGCTTTGGCTCTGAGTGAAACCAAGAGTGCAACAAAATTAACCTTTTTGAAGTCCATGAAATAATTTAAATTTATAGATTAACTTAAAACTTATCCCGTCACCGGGGATGGATACTTTTGCTCATATACATTATATTAAACTGTCAGTAAATCAAAACTTAGTTTTTATATTAAGACTGGAGTTGGTTGCTTGCTGTGGCAAGTTGAGAAAAGTTAAATGAATTGGTTAGTGGATCAATGAACAACCTCAGTTAAGTGAAGACTTTCATGGCCTGGTGGTTAGGACATTGGACTCGCAATCTGTGGGTCGTGGGATCGAATCTTGTCACCGAACATTCACCATTTCAGTCGTGGGGGACGTTATAATGTGATGGTCAATCCCACTATTCACTGGTAAAGAATAGCCCAAGATTTAGCAGTGAGTGGCGATGACTAGCTCCTTCCCTCTAATCTATCACTTCAAATTTATGAAAGGTCAGCGCAGATAGTCCTCGATTAGCTTTGAGTGAAGTTCAACAAAAACAATTGTGTGAATTTGTATAGGTGTAACTCAATTTTAGATGGATATTTTCAAACTTCAAATATATAGTATAAATTTAAAAATGTTTTGATAATTGATCTCATTTCTAAATGGAATTTAAGTAGAATATAAAACTGCTTTTCCAGAATACGTTAAACTAACCCTGTTAGATATACATGACTGTTAAAGTTTATTGCGAGGATTATGATTTAGATAGTTTAAGTATAGCGTGAGTGTTAAATTTAGTTATTTTTACAAGTAGTTTATCGCAGGTTTGTTTACTTAACCTTGCGAATCATACATTGTTATGTCAATTGTTGTGAATATGCACTTGTTGTATTATCGCATCATGTTACTAGAACCTTCTAAGCTTTCTCATTATTTTAATTAAGTATTATTGTATCATAATATCTCGTAGTGTATGGAATGTTCAAGGCTTTGGTTAGTCCATAAGAACACGTACAAAATGTAGTTCCAGTTAGTTGGATAGAGATAGAGGGTGTAGCTAAACCCGTGGTTTGAGTAGTTAATCATATCTAGAATATTTTTCACATCCTCTCTATCATTACGAAAGGGTAAACCCCACACGTATCTTCCTAACTACCCCTCTGTACAGTTGGTTGATTCCGAATTCCCATAATTCATCTCGTTTACGATCTACTTCCCAGTTTTTTGAGCGAAACCCAATAGTAAAGTTGAGGTAGTCAAGTGATAACGTTAGAGTAAAAATAGAATTACTCTTTACAAAATGAGTATGCACGAAGCCCGACTTGGTGAGTTATCTTGGTAGTAAATAAATAAATGCTGTCCCTCTATTAAACTGATTTTTGTTTTTAGGAGTAGACGTGATGTATATTTTCATTTTTTAGAACAATGACTTAACTTGTGTAGCAAAGAGCTAGCATTTAAAACCGTGCACACATCCCTGTGAGTGTGACTGTGCGAGAGGATGGCTTCACAGTTAAACCGTCTTATGCCTGAAAGTGCGGAAAAGCATATTCTTTAATCCAAATTAATTTGGATTAATGTTTGTGATTAGCTTTATTTTTATTTTCTGAAAGAGACTAAGGTGAGTATTTTGTATGATGAAGACAAACAGTTTCATTGGTTCTTGCTCAGTAATACTTGGGTTTTATGCATTCTATTTTCGAAATTTAATTTGAAAGTTATCAAATTTAGAAGTATCGTATATGAATGCGTGTGTGATAGTATTTTCAGAGAATTAAACTTTAAGTTAAAACTGTGACACCTTAAAATTAGCAGCAGCTCGAACAAAGAATGTATTTAGCAATAAAGAAAGTCTGCGTCTTAATATCACAGTTTAACAATCTGATAATGATATATTGGAAGCTATATCAGTTAAAATTAAATGTTGATGAGTCAATGCGCAAATACAGAAAACCCTCAGTTTTATGTTAGACTTAGATTATGCACATTATAGGTGGCAGAAGTTAAGAAGAAATTGTGCAAAGAGATAATATTTTGCTTATATTTAAGTTTGTTTCTTATATGCATCTTCTGGTGGAGTGTTTAAGAAACTGAAAATGTGCAATATCAACTTCGAAAGAGAAAGGCTATTCACATGTGACGTCACCATGCCTAGTCGGTCGCATGTCTGTACTACTTGGCGGCAAGCTCGTAGTTGTATTAGTGGCTATTTATGTTCCGAAATATACGTTAATGAGCACGTTATTTGGAATTTTAAAATAAAAACAACCGCAAGTTATATATTCTGAAGCGATTTTATTCATGTAGAAATTTCTTGACATGGTTAGAATTTTCTGTTCTAATAAAAAACCTATGTAGTAAAGCCACCTATCAAGCACTTGAGGGAGCGTATTTATAAACAAGCGGTTTAATCAGACAGCAATGTTATATAGTATTAAAATATATTGTAGCTTTATGAATAGTTTTCCGGTGTCAAAATTTAAATTCAAAATTATTTCGAAGTACGAAGTTGTAGAAAATGAATACTTGTAAATGTGTTTGTGAAATAGGATAAATATATTTTCTATTCTAATATAATGTTTTTGACATAGTTGTATTTGATGCAGTGAGTTAACATACTGAAATTTCATAGTATTACGAAGTTTTAGTTGAACTTTAGAAGAGCTTCAGTGGCTTTCGAACTAGTTTCTTTTTGCGCACTTCTACTGAATCTTAAAGAAAACACTTATCACCTCCATAATATATTTCTGTTTGAAAACACTTAAAATGTTATTGAATCTTCAGAACCAGATTAAGCGAGTTCTGCTTCTAACTGTCAAAACGCGTGATAATTAATACTAATATACGAGTGTGCCTGGGAAAAAAAGATATGTCAAGAAGAACAAATGTGGAACACCAGTCTATGTCAAGGGTGTAAGATGAGGGATACCCGGAAGTATATAACATGTTACAATAATATAACTTGGAAAAATGGGTGTCTGTCAGGGTTTCACTCAGCTGAGACTTTTTTTTTTCGCAGTTAGATCTACATTGCTCTGTCGTGGAAACTTTAGTTCGATCGATTAAAAATGTGTCCCTGAAGGTGCAAATATTGGAAATGTTGTTTACAAAAGTTATGTAAACATTTTTTTCAATAAGGATAACTAATTAAAACATTAAAATTAAAGGTGGGGTGAGTACTCACGGTGTCAACATTTCTGAATATATCTTTTAAAAACTTTTATAAAGCAAGCAAACTCGCACAGAATGCATGATTGTTCGTGAAAAATGTTCTTTATAGCTCAATTTTTGTCTTTATGATCTATAAATCTAGTTGAAATAAACTCAGAACTTAATATTAAAGTTTTGACGCTAAATAATTACTCGTGTTTAGATATGGGAGAGCAATAAAACCTATTTAATATAAGGCTTATTTTGAATACTTTTTATTTGAAGCCTGCTTAATTACTAACATTTTTTTTCTTTTAAACGAACATCTCTCATCATGATGTAGTTAAGTGCACAATTATCAGGTAGCTTTTGTTGCATGTATTTAGAATTGTGTTAATATATGAGATACACTTTTGCAATTTTATAAAACGGTTAGCAGTAGTAGTTTAAAAATGTTCCAAATTCTTTTTTTTGGTAGATTTCATTGTGCGTCTTAAAGCGGTTTTAACTGAAAAATACTGTGCGAATTGAAGATAATTTTTGTTGTTTTGTAGTCATTGAGTTATACACTTTATAACTTGTTTTTAAAAAAGTAAAGAATTACCATCAAGAAGAATAAAATTCATCTTAATACCCTACTCCAGAATATACTCGTGAAAGAATGATTATTAGTTAACAGATTGATTGTAATGAATCAAATCTGGTCGGTGTTTGTGACATCGCGAAAAATTTGGGCGTTTACACTTTTAATACTGAAGTCCACACCAACAAGTGGGGAGAATCTATAGTTCTTGGTTTGTACATGTTAATGAACGTTAGAACCCGTACAAGCATATCGTATCTTGTCGTAATTCTATCACAAAATCTCATTATTGACAATTACAGTTTTGTGATCAAATTGATGTCGTGTTCGTGACACCTTGAATCTGTTCTCTTCCCACCACGGGTATCAAAACTCTATTTTTAACGTTATAATTCCTCACTTACCGCCTAACCACCAGGAGGCAACACCTTGAATAGAAGAATGCTTACAACTTTTCTTCTTTAGTTGTCGAATATTTCTGTTAGATCGCATTATAAGCTTAAGGAATTCAAACGTACTGCTATGTTTGCACAATGAGACGAACTTTAATGGTTATCATTCACCAGACGACAAATGGCTCCTTGTGGTTTTTGAAACTGAAGGAAAACCTGGAATTTCTGTTGTATTATTGATCCATGTATACAGCTACTCCTGTGCTAGCGAAGTAACCAACGTAACTTGACTCTGTCTGTGTGCTTTCCACAAGCTAATAAGGAAGGCGGTTGTTAGATGTTTCAGTATTTGGAATTTAACAAGAAGCCAATGCAATCAGTTAAAAGTTAAATGTTTTTAATTAACAAAACACCCCTTTAAATAATGCAAGTATTAACTGCATGTAATCTGAATTTTAAGAGCAAATCACATGCGCAGTTGTTGCTGTTTTTCAACAACGTTTTCTAAGTTTGTTTTATTAGTAGAGTTCAAAGAGAAATGTAATATTAGCTGTCAAGTTGGGATTAGTAGTAGTTAATTGGAATAAGAGTAATTAGCTTTGACTGCCCTCCTTATTAGGACCAGTTCTACATGGATTTGTGGAACACGATTTACCTGCGTATACAAAATAGACTAATAAGCCAGGATCTGTTGTTGTTTGAAGTTAAACACAAAGGAACACGACCGGCTATCTGTACTCTGCCCACCACGGGTATCGAAACTCGGTTCCTAGCGTAGTAAGTCCGCAGACATACCGCTGTGCCACTGGGGGCAAGTCAAAGTCTTAGTCTTATGGTTATTCTTCAAGAATAAGAAAAAAGGGACATGATCGTTGGTGCCCTTCTAGCGGGAGTGTCGTTATCATGCAAAAGAAATGTATTTTGCCCCTCTCCAAAGAAATTCGTTTTCCATAAATGTATATCGAAAAGGAATAACAGTGCAAGCGTGTGATATGGCTTCAGTCATGTTTCACATTTCCTGTACTGAAGCAAGATGAAAAGCGAAGAAAACCTCGTGAGGTATTTGATCCTGTTTCTGTTGTCCTGACAATGCCAGGCTACTGAAGCCAGTGTGTGTGTGGGGTGGGGGGGGGG